TGAGGCTGTGACTGTGACTGCCGTTGCCACTGCGACTGTCATCGCGAATGCGACTACGACTGCGAGAACAGCAGAATTCTACAACTGGATTCTCATCTGAATCTTAAGGGGAATGCTTCCAGATATGCTCCTACACATCGCTGTTAGGTTGCTTTGGGATACTTACCTAACAGCGAAGACTGATAGGTTTCTAGTTGACTCAAAAGAGCTCACAGATCACTCCGCAGGGAGGTCTGGGCGGGTGCCGGACAGGGTGCCGCAGAAGTCGTTTTAAGCCAACAGTCACACACTTCGTGCTCTTCGAAGAACTCCATTCCCGGGCCACATTTTGAATGCCCGGAGCCAACTGTAGGCCACTTCGTGCTCTTCGACTTCCCAGAACTCCATTCCCGGGCCACATTTTGAGATGCCCGGAGCCAACTGTAGGCCACTTCGTGCTTCTTCGACATTTTTCCCAGAACTCCATTCCCGGGCCACATTTTGAATGCCCGGAGCCAACTGTAGGCCACTTCGTGCTCTTCGAGTTCCCAGAACTCCATTCCCGGGCCACATTTTGAATGCCCGGAGCCAACTGTAGGCCACTTCGTGCTCTTCGAGTTCCCAGAACTCCATTCCCGGGCCACATTTTGGATGCCTGGAGCCAACTGTAGGCCACTTCGTGCTCTTCAAGTTCCCAGAACTCCATTCCTGGGCATGATTTTGAATGCCCGGAGCCAACTGTAGGCCACTTCGTGTTCTTCTAGTTCCCAGAACTCCATTCCTGGGCCACATTTTGAATGCTGAGGCAGGCTGATGCTGCGGCCGAGGCAGGCTGAGGCTGAGGCAGGCTGAGGCTGAGGAGGCCGAGGCTGAAGGCAGACTGAGGCTGAGGCTGAAGCAGACTGAGGCTGAGGCTGAGGCAGGCTGAGGCTGAGGCTGAGGCAGGCTGATGCTGAGGCAGGCTGAGGCTGAGGCTGAGGCTGATGCAGGCTGAGGCTGAGGCAGGCTGAGGCTGAGGCCGAGGCTGAAGGCAGACTGAGGCTGAGGCTGAAGCAGGCTGAGGCTGAGGCTGAGGCAGGCTGAGGCTGAGGCAGGCTGAGGCTGAGGCTGAGGCAGGCTGAGGCTGAGGCTGTGACTGCGACTGCCGTTGCCGCTGCGACTGTCATCGCGAATGCGACTACGACTGCGAGAACAGCAGAATTCTACAACTGGATTTTCATCTGAATCTTAAGGGGAATGCTTCAGATATGCTTCTACACATCGCTGTTAGGTTGCTTTGCCGGGATTTTTTTACCTAACAGCTTGTTCTGATAGGTTTCTAGTGGTGTCAAAAGAGAGCAGCAGATGACTCCACAGGGGGGTCTGGGCGGGTGCCGGGGAGGGTGCCCAGAAGTCGTTTTTCGCAACAGTCACACACTTCGTGCTCTTCGACCTCCCAGAACTCCATTCCCGGGCCACATTCTGAATGCCCGGAGCCAACTGTAGGCCACTTCGTGCTCTTCGACTTCCCAGAACTCCAATCCCGGGCCACATTTTGAATGCCCGGAGCCAACTGTAGGCCACTTCGTGCTCTTCGACTTCCCAGAACTCCATTCCCGGGCCACATTTTGAATGCCCGGAGCCAACTGTAGGCCACTTCGTGCTCTTCGAGTTCCCAGAACTCCATTCCCGGGCCACATTTTGAATGCCCGGAGCCAACTCTAGGCCACTTCGTGCTCTTCGAGTTCCCAGAACTCCATTCCCGGGCCACATTTTGAATGCCCGTAGCCAACTGTAGGCAACTTCGTGCCCTTCGACTTCCCAGAACTCCTATTCCTGGGCCACATTTTCAGCAGGGGCAAGAGCACGACGAGGAGGAGGACGAGCAAGACCAGGAGGACGAGGACGAGCAGGAGCAGGACGAGGAGCAGGAGGAGCAGGAGAAGAAGGACGAGCAGGAGGAGGAGGAGGACGAGCAGGAGGAGGAGGACGACCAGCAGGAGGGGACGGCGGCCGGCTGCCCCGAGATGCTCCTACACAGAGATGCTCCTACACATGGCTGTTAGGTTGCTTTGCCGGGATAATTGTTATTGTTGTTGTTGTCGTTGTTGCTGGTGTTGTTATTGTTGTTGTTGTTGCTGCTGCTGCTGCTGTTGTTATAGTTGTCGTTGTCGTTGTCGTTGTCGTTGTTGTTGTTGTTGTTGTGGTGTGTGTTTCGATTCGTGTGATTTGATGATAGTTGCCGTTGTTGTTGTTATGTTCTTGTTGTGTGGCATGTTTGACTGCATGACTGTGTATACATGCGCCCATATATATATATATATATATATATATATATATATAGGTGTATATGCACGCACACTTGTATATACATATGTGTACCTATATGCGCTACATGTCTGTTGTTTTGGTTCCTGACTCGTCCGTCCCCGTCTCCTCTTCTTGCTCCCCTGCGTCCCTGTTCCTGTTGCACTTCTTCCCTGCTCCTGTTTCTCCCGGTTCCCCCCGAGGAGCAGGAGCAGGAGGAGGAGCAGGAGGAGGAGGAGGAACGAATATCGGGAGGCGTGCGATGGCATGCGGCCAGAGGCCGCCGCCAGGCTTCGGAGGTCTGTGGAATTCCCCCGAGGGCCCCCCCGGGAGGCGCCCAGAGCCCCCCAGAAGGCACAGGAACGCCCCTAACCCCTGATCCTCTTCCTCCTCTTTCTACTCCTCCTCCCTCCTCCTCCTCCTCCTCCTCCTTCTCCTCCTCCTCCTCCTCCTCCTCCTCCTCCTCCTCGTGCTCCTCCTCTGCCTTCCCCCCCGCCCTCCTCCTTCCCCTCTCCCTGCTTGTCCCCTTTCTCTTCTCCCCATCCCCCCTCCTTCTCTCCCTTCCTTCCCCCATGTGATGGGCCTCTTTTCCACCACCACCACCATAGGTTGGAGGTGGGAGGGAGGTGGAGGATGAGGAGTAGGTGGAGGAAGAGGAGGAGGAGAAGGAGGACCCCCTCCCCCTCCAACTTATGGTGGTGGCTGTGGAAGACAAGCCCATCACCATGTCCTGGGCGAGGACGGCTCCGAGGTGACCGTTCTGTCCCGAGCGCTGGCGGCGAGGCACGGCGAGTCCGAGGGCGTCCGCTGCGTCAACGGCGCGTTCCGGGCCCTCGCCGCCAAGGGTGGCGCCGTCACGGCGGGCGCCGAGGACCTCGCCGCCGCCGCCGCCGCCGAGTTCGGTGCCGCCGCCGCCGCCGAGTTTCGACTTCGTCGTTCTCGCCGCTGCCGCCATCGTCGTCGTCGTCATCGTCGTCATCGTCGTCGTCGTCGTCGCCGTCGCCGCCGCTGCCGCCGCCGCCGCCGCTTTCGCCTTAGCCGCCGCCATCGCTGTCGCCGCCCCTTTTTTTGTCGTCGCCGCCGCCGCCGTCGCCGTTGTCGCTGTTGTCGCTGTGTTGCTTCTCCTCGCCTCCCCCTTCCCTTTCTCTTCCCTCCATCCTCCCTCGTCCCTTCTCCCTCGTCGCTCATCGTCGTGCGCCTCCTCCTCCTCCTCCTCGCCCTCTTCCTCGCCCACCCCTCGTCTTTGTATCTACTCTTCGTCGCGACACGGGGCGGGTCGGTGTGGCGGGCTGGGGCGTTTCGCCGGAGATTCTTCGCGGCTTACTGTCCTGAAGCTTGTTTGGCTGAAGTTGGAGTTCCCATCAGTCGAATGGTTGGAGGGCGGATCCTTGTTTTCAACGTGCGGATCTCGCCCGAGCGCCGCGCACACTCGGGCTATACAAGTTTTTGAGCGGGTGCGCGGAGGGAGGGCGGCCTCGATGTTCAGAGCGCCGCGCCGGCCGCCGCGCCGCGCCGCGATCTTCTTGCAAGCTCGGAGCAGATCAGTAGGTCGACCCTGCCAAATCAGGGGTACCCTTGTGTCCTGTGTCTCGCGACCCATGCTTCCTACATTGCTGTGGCAATGTGGCCCTCGGAAGGGTTTTGTGTCCTCTCGCGTGTCCTGTCCAATCGAGTCCGACTGTACAAGCTTGGAGCAGTTGAGCGGATGGAGGGCGGGACGTTTTCAACATGTAGCGCCTCGCCTGACGTCCCTGCGCGCGGCCTGGCGTCTCGAGGAAGGCGTCGCGGGCACCAGGGCAAACTCAGCCTCGGGCGCAAGGTCTGCCGTTGATTTGCTGTGGTGTCAGCTTTGCCTACTTGGGCGCGCTCAGAACAAAGGGCACGGCGACATTTGGTTCTTGCAGCAGCGCCGCTTGCATTTGTATAAGCTTCGCGTGTGCGGACGCGGTGCGACCCGTTTTGAAAATGCAGCTCTCGCTGCAGCGCCGCGCACTATCGTCTTCATCGTATGAGTTGCTCGGGGGCCACATGTGAACCCTACCCCTACCCCCCACGATTTCTGAGAGGAGGGTGGGGTTCACTTCGCTCGGGAGCTCCCGAACGAAGTGAACCCCACCCTCCCCCTCGGAAATCGTGGAGGGTAGGGGTAGGGTTCACATGTGGCCCCCTATTTGCACGCGCGGAGAGCGGCTTCCTTTCGAAATGGGGCTCTCGAGACAGATGCCCTCGAGTGTGATGACGGAGTGTAAGCCTATGCAGTTGTTGCGCAGATGGATGGCCATTCTTTTTCAGAATGGGACTCGCACGCGATTCCTTCCCGAACTTTATGATCACACCTCGTGGCATGTCTTCCGGCTCGACGCATGGAGGGTCAATCCTTTTCGGGATGGGGTTCTCGCCTGGACGGCATGTCCATGGGGCGTTGGCTTCGCTCTTCTTGGTGTGATGACGGATCATTGTAGGGGACGTATCAGGGGGGCGTGGGGACGGGATGGTGTATTGTGGCATCGTTGATGCCTCATGTGTTTGTTTGCTCTGGTCCCTCCTCCCGAATCCTGTGTTTGTTTGCTGTGGTCCCTCTTCCCTCCTCCCCCCCTGTCCCTCCTCTTCCTCCTCCTCCTCCTCCACCTCCACGCAGGAGCTCGCCCTCAAGAACAGCAAGCCGTTTCCACTGACGTGCAGCAGTAGGGAGCTGGGGGAGCTCGGGGCTGGCTGGCCCCTGTTCTTCGAGTTCGTGTGCTACCTGGTGTTCCTGTGTCTCGCCCTGTGCCTCGCGCACGCGCCCGCCCTGGCGTTGTACGGCAGCTTCGACGAGGCGATCAGGATCAACGTTAGAGGGGGGAATAGGCACAGGGGGGGAACGCATCGACCCCTAACCGCCCATTCATCGCCGATAGTGGCCTGATAGTCCACTCTGTCCAGGCACGTGCGGCTTCGCTGTCGGGGCCTATCGCCGATCTGTCCGCGATGTATCGCCGATTCCATGCCGATGTTTTCTCCCCTGCGCCGGTCCCCCCTAACGCTTCCCCTCAGGCGAACCTGCAGGGGTGGGTCGTCGATGCGACCGAGCAGCAGTCCATGGTGGCCCACTCCAGCCTGACCGCCGGCAACACCGGGCCCGACGGCACCTCGTCCCTGACGCCCTGCGTCTGCGCGCTCGCAAGTGTTGCGCTGATGCTCGTGAGCGCGGCGCACATGTCCAGCCGGCAGGTCCAGCTGAAGCAGGAGTCGAAGAAGAAAGAATGGCATGAACATGCATTTTCGGATCTCCGCGCGGATTCCTCTTACCGGCGCTGGACCCCCTGGCGGCGCCTCCAGCGCCGCCATCGGCGCGCTCCGCGCGCTAAGGAGGGGGGTCCAGCGCCGATTCCAGACAGCCGTGCGGATCTCCGAACTTTTCAGTTTATACCCCTTTTTGCCACTCAAAGGAGATCGACTCCACGGAGGTGGAGCCGAACGACTTCGCCCTCTTCATCGAGGGGCTTCCCGCCGACGCGGCCCGCGGCAAGGAGATCAGGGAGTGGGTCGAGCAGCACGCCCGGGCGTGCCGCAGCACCGACGTGGTGACCGTAGTCGTCGGCTTCGACATCCCGAAGTTTGTTGCGCAAGCCGTTACGGTCTCCAAGCTGAGGAAGGAGCTGATGGAGTGCGAGGACGACGCCGCTCGGAGAGAGCTGATCCAGCAGATCGAGACGCTCAGCAAGCCGATCGCGACAGCGGAGGAGCTGGTGAAGTTCCTGCCGAACACGGGGTACGCCGTCGCGGTGCTGCGGAGCCAGTCCGAGCACCGGGAGTGCCTGCAGCAATGGGACACCTGGAGGGAGTGGCTTGCCTGGACGCTGCCGCTGCCGACGAGCCTCCTTGCCAAAGTCAGCGAGACCCCGCGATTTCGCGGCACTCACCTTGTCAGGATAACCCGCGCCAGCAATCCCTCTGATTACATGTGGGAGAATCTGAGTACCACCGATTCGGAGCGGAGACGCGCTAGGCTCAAGGCCTACGCCGTCCTCGCCGCCATCTTCGCCCTGTGTGTCCTGTCCGTGTGGGGCATGAAGGCGCTCCAGCTGCACCTCAACTTCGGCTCGTGGTTCAGCCTGCTCGTGGTGCTGCCCATGGTGCTGGCTGCCAAGTTTGCGGGCCCCATCGCCACCCGGCGGTACGTCCTTCAGGAGAAGCACAAGACGAAGACCCAGAGGGACCTCGCCCTCATGGTCAAGTACACGATATTCGCGGTGCTCGTCTACTGCGTGTGTCCCTTGGCCATCGTCCGCGCCGACGCGATTGGACAGCCCGCTCCCAGCAAAGACACGGGCTACTACCGCGACGGCGGCCTGCAGGGGACGGTGGCGACGCTGCTCCTCGTCAACAACTTCCTCCTCCCGCTGACGACCTTCCTCGGCTCAGGGGTCCTGATGCGGCGAGCCATCCTCAACTTGGGCAACCCGCTTCGCGGCACGCCGCCGCTCGACCTGGACCACCCCCCGCCGGGGCTTACTCAGGCCAGGCTCAGGAGGCAGTTCGAGCCGCCAGACATCAACATGGCCAGAGTCATGAGCCAGGTCATGAAGAAGTTCTTCCTGGGCGTCTTCTTCCTGCCGATGTTCCCCCTGGGCATCCTGTACTCAGCAGGGGGCCTGATGCTGGAGTACTGCGCCTACCGGTACCAGCTGCTCCGCCTGAGCAAGCCCGAGGGACCCCAAACGGAATGCGCATACACTCTTGGAGTTCCAGGCGAATTTCCCGGATCGGCGCTTGGCCCCCGGCGGGCGGAGGCCAGGGGGCGGCGCCGGCGGCGCCACCAGGGAAGCCACGCGCCGATCTTGGAGGGAGGAGAAAGCACCCGGACCGGACAATTGACGTTTACTGTGCGGCCTTGGGCGTTTACTAAACGGCCCTGCCCTGCTCGGTTCCTTCAGTGGGGGCGTGTAGTAAGCGGCCTCGCTTGTCGGGGTGGTCATTCTGGTGGTGGATGTTTTGCCTTCTGGATCTGAGAAATCCGCACGGAGCTCCGAAAGTTTGTGCTCAGGCCGTTTCCTTGCTCCTCTGCAGGCGGCCCTACCGCCAGAGCCACGACGTCGCTTTCGGGGCCCTGAGGCTCGTGTCGGCCGCCGCCGGAGTCCTGGGGCTCACGCAGTTCCTGCTGTTGGCGCCCTCCCTGGCAGGCCGCTCGGGGCAACGTCAGGGGGGAGTTGGAGGCTTCGAGATTCGAGGCTCAAGGCTGGCGGGCACTTCCGTTGGTCCCCGTCGGCTTTCCAGCCTCGGGGTGCCTTCCGGCAGCTGGGCCGTGCCGAGAGCGTTCCGGGGACGCCCGGATCGCTCCGAGCGGCCGCCAGAGGCCCGAGCTGTGGCCCGAGGACCACCGTGGACGGGGATATGCTCAGGGGCGGCTGCATCGACGTCCGATCGCACGCGCCTCGCCGGCGGGGGCCCAATGGCCCCACCCCGCACAGGAGCGTGCGGATGGGCCAGCGGGGACCCACCTCCGATCTATCGTTGTGGAGGACGATCAATGGAGAGGAAGCATGTTGCCAAATAATTTCCAGATGCCTAAAACATGTGTTAAGCATGTCTCGAACAGGTAAAACACATGTTCAAAGCATGTTCAGAACATGCTTCCGACGTTTTGAACACATTTTAAATTCAATGGTAGGACTGTTAGGGTGTCCACTGTCGTGGCATCCACAAATCTATCGGCGAGGCATCGACGACTCTGGGGCCGATGCTTCCCCCCCGGGCTGGCCCTGCCTCTGCCTCAGAGGAGGCACAGGGGGCCACCGCCACCGGGAGTCCACCGAGGGGCTCTCGGCATCGGTGGTCCAGGTTTCTCCGCGGATTGGCGTTAGAATCGGGCGTGTCCTGCTACAGGGGGAAAATTCGAGGATAGTCGAAAATAGTCCGGGGACGATGTATTACATCTTTTTGTCAGTTTTGGCGTTTTTCTTTCTTGGGTTGTTAAACAACATCCGCCTGTAGGGGGACATGCCCGACCTACGACTAACGTTTTCCATCAGGCCAGGGCTGGTACCTCTGCGGGTGGGTCGCCCTTCTCGTGCGAGCCACCGCCCAGGGGTCGTTCCTCCCCCCCCCCCTCCCACACACATCGATGGCTTCTCGGTGGCGGTGGTACTTGTTTTCGGATACTGGAACGTATACATTACCAGTGGCGGGCAGTTTTTCAATCCCAGGACTTTTTGGACGCCGTCGGGGTGGTGTGGTGTATATTCTTAGGCTTACGCCACACCGCCGACCCCTTGAGAGGCTTCTTGTATGTGTGTCGGGATCTCGCGGATCGCTTTTCGGAGGCCTCTGGAAGCGAGTTTTGGAGCCACTTGGGGGCCGTTTCGGAGCCTCTGGGGTGCTTCTTGGGGGTTCCTTGGGGCGTCTGGGCGGCCTCGTGAGGGCCTCTGGGGGCCTCTTGGGGCACTCTTGGGGCCCCCTGGGGCTCCTGGGGGCAGAAAGCTAGAGTTTCAACATGTTTGGTCGCCCTCTTGGGCCCCTCTTGGTGCCGTCTTGGAGCCCTCTTGGGCCGTCTTGGGGACCTCTTGGGCCGTGTTGGGGCCGTCTTGGGCCGTCTGGAGGCCGTCTTGGGGGCCTCTTGGGCCATCTTGGGGCTATCTTTGGGGCCTCTTTGCCCGTCTTGGAGCGTCGGGAAGCCGGAAAGGCGGAAAAGCAAAAAACATCGAAAAACACTCTGGAAAATCAGCAATTTTTGACTCTTTGGGCCCTCTTGGGAGGCTCATTTGGGACCTCAGGGGCCGTCTTGGAGACCTCTTGGCCCGTCTTGGGGCCATCGTGGGCGTCTTGGAGCGGTCGTTTGGCTTCTCGGAGCCTTCGTGGGCCGCCTTGGAGGCCTCTTGGGGGCTTCGTGGCCCGTCTTGAAGCCCTCTTGGGCCAGGAAAAGCCCCGTGGAGCGCTCGTCCCGGACCCCCCCCCCCCTTGAACCGCTCGTCCCGGACCCCCCCCCCCCCCTCCAAATCGACCGGACCGGGCTCCCGGGGGAGGGGTTTGGGGAGGGGGAAGCATCTCACACGCCGATGATCCCCAAGGGGTCGGCGGATTTTTTCTTCGTTTTATTTGGGAAAGCAACGAAGGATGTATACACCAGGATCCCATATACACCAGGATCCGCTTTCCTGTGCGAGATTCAGTGTGAGGCCAGACACAGGCGTCGGTGTACAGAGTTCGGTTCCCTATGTTTCTCCTCTGGCTAACGTTCCCCCTCAGGCCAGGGCCGGCAACTCTGCGGGTGGGTCGCCCTCATCGGCACGCTGCTGGCGGCCGCGTTGGCCGTCGCGCCCGAGCAGGTGAGCCGGCTGCTGTTCTGCGCCGTGTGCCTGGGGGCGCGCGCCGACACGGAGACGGACGTCGACTACTACGCTGCCCAGAAGGCTCAGGGGCATCGTCAGGGGGGGGATATATAGGCGGGGGGGACGTTCCGGGTTCGAAGTCTGAGATTTTTGGACGCTTTCGTCGCTTCTCGGCGGTTTTCCAGCCTCGGGGTGCTGTCCAGCAGCTGCGCCTCGCCGAGGGGCGTCTGGGGGTGCCCAGATCGCTCCCCGAGGGGGGCGTCTGGGGGTGCCCCGAGTTGTGGCCCCCGAGAACCACCGGGGACGGGGACATGCTCGAGGCGAGGGCATCGACACCCAACCGCCCTCTCATCGCCGACGGGGGCCCGACAGCCCCACCCCGCCCAGGCGCACGTGGATGGGCCCGCGGGGGCCTATCGCCGCTCTATCGGCGATGTGTCGCCCACTCCAGGCCGATGCGTCCCCGCCTGAGCTGGCCCCCCCCCAGCATTGCCTGTCCAAGGCGTGGCCGAAACACCAGAAGTACCACACGACCCACGCGGTGCCCGGCGGCGCAAAGAGGGGGGTCGAAGATCGAGGATCGCGGCTCGGCTCGATGACCGAGGGTCGAAGATATCTAGGATTGCGACTCGAGGGGGGATCGAAGGTCGAGGATCGCGGATCGAGGGAGGATCGAGGATCGAGGATCTTGGATCGAGGAGGGATCGCGGATCGAGGTTCAAGATTCCGGGGCGTCCTCGGGCCTCCTTTGGCCGTGGGCCTTCGGAGGTCTCCCCGGATGGCTATCGGTGCGTCTCGAGGGTCTCGGATCGAGCTTTTTCCGGCGGCGGCGAGAGGGAGGGTGGCCTGCCGGGAAGGCATGATGGGCTCCTTGCAGGGAAGCCGCAGTCGTCGACGTAGGCATCGACGTCGACGTCGACGTCGTCGTCGTCGTCTTCGGCGGCGGCGGCGTCGTCGCCGTCGTCGGCGGCGCGTTGTCGTCGTCGTCGTCGTCGTCGTCGTCGTCGTCGTCGTCGTCGTCGTCGTCGTCAGCGTCGTCGTCAGCGTCGTCGTCAGCGCCGTCGTCGTCGTTGCCGTCACCGACGCCGCTGCCATCGTCTTCGTCGTCGTGGGCTTCGTCGTCGTCGTCTTGTCGACGTCGTCGTCGTCGTCGTCGTCGTCGTCGTCGCCGCCGCCGCCGCCGTCGTCGTCAGCGTTGTTCTCGTTGTGGCCGTCGCCGTCGCCGTCGCCGTCGTCGTCGTCGTCGCCGCCGTCGCCGCCGTCGCCGCCGTCGTCGATGTCGCCGCCGTCGTCGTCGTCGCCGTCGTCGTCGCCGCCGTCGTCGTCGTCGTCGTCAGCATCGTTGTCGTCAGCATCGTCGTCGTCGTCGTCGTCGTCGTCGCCGCCGTCGTCGTCGTCGTCTTCGTCGCCGTCGCCGTCTTCGTCTTCGTCGCCGTCGCCGTCGCCGTCGTCCGTCGCCGTCGCCGTCGCCGTCGCCGTCGCCGTCGCCGTCGCCGTCGCCGTCGTCGTCGTCGTCGTCGTCGTCGTCGTCGTCGTCGTCGTCAGCTACGTCGTTGTCGTGGCCGTCGACGTCTAGGGCCACACCTTCCACTATTACCAGCAATGGCCAGTGTCCCTCCGGTTGCTCCAGCTCCGGCGGTCCCATCCCATTCGTGTTCGGGCTCACTGCAACCCCCAGAAGCTTCTCCAGCCCTGGCCACTTCCTCTTTCACGGACTTTCCAACCTCTTTCCAACCTCTTTCTTGTCGGCTTCTCTTCCTGGACGCGGGGGTCCTACCTTTCAGTCGGGCCTGTCTCTCTGCAGGGGGAATCTTCTTCAAAAGTAGCCCAAAAATTGCCTGGGGAAGATTTGTGGAGTGCTTCCCGACCTTTTTGGAGTATTCGTGTTCCGGAACTTCTATGTTTTTTTCATCCGAAATCCCCCTGCAGGCGGGCAGGCCCGACCTAATCCCACCTGGAGGGGGCCACAGGATCGGCGGTCGAATCCGCGGCGCGTAGCCATCTCTCGCCGAGCTTCCTCGGCCTCGCTTGGCGCGTGCGCCTCGCTGGAGCGCTCTGCTGCGCACGACGACAGGTGCAGCCGGAGGGTGTCGGCGGCGAGCGGGGGGGGGGAAACTTCGAGGCTCGAGGCTCGAAGCTCGAGGCGGTATTTCCTCATTCCTCCCCCTCCTCCTCCTCCTCTTCCTCCTCCTCCTCCCTCCTCCTCCTCCCTCCTCCTCCTCCTCCTCCTCCTCCTCCATTTTCGTTCTCTGGGGGCCTTTTTCGGGCCCCGGGACCCCCGGAACTCGACCCGGGGTGAAAACCCGCGTCGGATGGGCCCTGGGAGGGGTCCGAGAACCGATTTTGACTGACCTTCGGCGGCGCGCCCAGGGGGGGAAGTGAGAAGGAGACGGTCTTCTCAGAAGGCGGCGGGACTTCTCATGAGCCCCCCGCGCCTTCTGAGAGGCTCGTTCTGTCTTCGGGGAAGGCTCGGAAAAACTTTCTCAGAGGTCCGGGGGACTTCCGAGCCTTCTGAGAGGGCCCGCCCCTTCTCAGTTCCCCCCCCTCGCTCGCCGCCGAGAGTGGGCAGGCGAAGAGACGCCGGCTCGGCCAGGGCAGTGTTCTTGAATCTCGGCTCGGCCATGGCATGTAGGCACATGCAAAGGTGTGATCTTCGGATCGCCGTACCCTCAAAATGGGCAGACATTGATGGGCCCATTTTCCACCACCACTACCGTAAGTAGGAGGAGGAGAGGGAGGAGAGGGAGGAGGAGGAGGAGGAGGAGGATGATGAGGAAGAGGAGTAATAATCAACATACGAATAATGATCATAATGATAAGAGTAATACTCATAATAACAATAATCATAAAAAACAATATTTAGAAGACGAATACGAATAGTAGTACTAATAATAATGATACTAGTAAGAAGGAGGAGGAAGAGGAGGAGAGGAGGAGGAGGACCTCCTCGTCCGCACTTCTCCCCCGTGCTACATATGGTAGTGGCGGTGAACAGTTTGCCCATCATACATTGCTTGTAGACGCCATTCCACCTCCTAAGAAGCCCTCCCGGAAGCCCCCCAGAGCCCTTCCGAGAAGCCCCCCCTGCCCATCCTGCGTGGGCCGCCCTCCCCGCTCTCCCCGCGCCCTGGGGGCTCGCGACTCGGTGGCTGAGAGAGGTTGTCCTGAGGGGTGCGGTCCTGCGGGTGAGATACTTACAAGGGTGGACTTGCATTGTTTGAGGCACCTCGTTCAGAGGAGGAAAAGGTACCGATACCGCTACCCCTCGCCTGTTGTCCCCTTTTTCGGCCTCCTCGGAGGCTCTCGTTGTCACCGCTGGATTCGCCTCGAAATCCTGGTCAGAACGCACCCCGGAAGAGGTCCGGGGAGTAGCGGTATTGGTACCTTGTGGTTTCCCCACTCGTCCTCAGGACCCCATCCCTCAAGGCCCCATCTTCGGATCACCGCAGGACCAGCTCAGAACGGGCCCCCCCCGACTTCTGGGGTCCGCCCCGCCTGGCGGGGGTCGCCTTCCCGGTCGCCGCGGCCGGGCTCGGCTCGGGAGGCCAGTCGGTGGCCTCTGCGGGCGTCCCGAACAGCGAGGGCACGGTGGTTCAGAAGACGATGCCGGGAGCCTTTCGTTGGCACTCAGTGTGGCTTTCCTGCGCCGCCCAGTGGTCCGCAGTGGCTCGCTGGCGCCAGTGGAGGCCACAGGCAGGGAGCCACTCGAGGCCACCGGAGACCACTGGAGGCCGCAGGGGGCCACTGGGGGACCACTGGAGGCCGCTGGGGGACACTGGTGGAGCCACTGTGGCCACTGAGGTGACTACGAAAGGCTCCCAGGAGCGTCTTCTGAACGTAGGGTCGTTTCAGGTCTGGTCCAGTGGCGGCGCTGCTTTTCGGAGAGCGCTGGATCGGAGAATCGTGCTGGTTCGAACGAGGGCAGCGGGCGCTGCTCGAGGCTGAGCTGCGCACTGTTTTCACTGTGGATCCGTGGGGGCCTCTTGGCCCGCGTGCCGCAGCCCCTTCTGCTTGGGGATCCACCTCGCAGGGCGCATTTTCGGCTCGACCGATCCGTTCCAATGTCGGACCGATCCGATTCAACACCGATTTCGGCCAGCCCGATCCGATCCGATTATGGTATGCCGTCGCTCCGACGCGTCCCGATGCCCATACAGGCGGCCCGGATTAGTAGGTCGACCCTGCCAGATCAAGGGCACCCTCGTGCCCTGTGTCCTCCGACCCATGCTTCCTGCATTACTGTGGCGATGTGGCCCTCGGAAGGGTCTTGTGTCCTCTCGCGTGTCCTGTCCAATCAAGTCCGCCTGTATGGTGTTCCAGCCTGTTCGAGCCTTGATCACGAACAAGTGAGTTTCGAGCACCCAAAAAACACCGAAACGCGATGGTTTTCACGTGTCGGGCCCTGGGAGACACTCGTTCGACATTGTTTCGGCACAGCTTCGGCCCTTGGAAGGGTCTTGTGTCCTCTCGCGCGTCCTGTCCTATCGAGTCCGACTGTATGGCGCTGTTGTGCACCCCGGCGCGCCCGCTTCGGCTCGGCTCCGCCCCCGTGCCGGTGCGGCCCTTCTGCGGCGCCCGCGGCAGGCCCGCGCCGCCGGTGACGCGCTGGCGACCCCTGCGCGGGTGCTCGAGGCCGAAGGCCGCCATTTGGCCTAGCATCGGCCAGTATCGTACGCTCGGCGCCGTCGGAAAGTCGGAGGAGAAAAAGGTACCCATACCTCTACCCTTCGCCCGTTTTCCCCTTTTTGGGCCTCCTGGGAGGCCCTCGTCGCCACCGCTGGATTCGCCTCGAAATTCTTGTCAGAACGCACCCCGGGAGAGGCCCGGGGAGTAGCGGTATCGTACAGCCAAGTCGCTGAAATGAAGGGACAATTTTGGTAAGAGAGGGGCTCGATACTCCTCAGGTCCTTCCATGGCTTCTCCTCTAGCCCTCCTCGTGCACGCAGGCGCTTGTGGGGCCAAGGAGGGGCTTCGTTCCTTGTTTATCGTTCCCTCTTTCAGCGGCCCCACTGTACGCTCGGCGCCGTCGGGAAGCCCCGCTCGTTCGACGTGGGACGAGCCACGCCGTGTCAGAAACCAACGCCGGGCTCCTCGCCACACCCGCCGTGATCCGATCCGAGCCGATAGTATCGATTCGATGCTGGCCGCTCCTGCCCTGTGTGCCGCGCGCAGCCGCGGGGGCGAGGCTCCAGAGGCGCCCCCGGCAGCAAGGGCTGCCCCGTCCGCAGCCATTTTGTCTCGAGCGGGTCACCAGCACATCCGAGATCGGGCCGCCCTGGCGGCGGGCGGGAGCCATGCTCGGTAAGTCGAGCGTCCCGATCACCACCCTGATGCTCCGCAACTTGCCCCGGGTGTACACCCAGGAGCAGCTTCTGACGGAGATCCAGCACGCGTTTGGTAGCAAGGTGGACTTCAACTTTCTGTACGTGCCCTGGGACTCGCATCTCAGCCGCAACGTAGGCTACGCTTTCCTGAACTGCTGCGACGCGGAGGGTGCAGAATGGTGCCGTGCGTTCTTCAGCGAGTACTACTTCCACAGGTCGGCGAAACACAAGCCGTGCGCGGTTTCCCCGGCCCACATCCAGGGGCTGGAGAGCAACCTGCTTCACTTGGTCGGGACGTTTCTGTGCGAGCGCAGGGAAAGCGCACCGATCGTCTTCTGGCATGGGCAGAGGATCCGCTTCCCGCAGGTCGTCGCCGCACTCCGGCGGCTCCCCGGCACGCCCGCGATGCAGGCGCCGTTCTCGGGGCCTGCTGGCAGCGTGGCCCCGCAGCCGGGCGGGGAGCCCGGGGCCGGCGGGCCCGAGACGGGCCCCGCGGCGCGCAGGCTGCAGCCCGCGTCCGCGCCCGGTGCCGAGCGGCGGCCGGCGGCGGCGTCGCAGAGCCCGCCGCCCAGTCACAGCACCGGCGAGGCCTCGGAGCGGCTGCCGTCCTCCCCCGCCAGCCTCGCGGAGGGGCTCAGCGGCGGCAGCGGCTCGTGCGAGCGCTCGGGGGACAAGCGATGACAGCAGCATGAAACGCGGGGGCCCGCGCGGGTTTCTCGGATCGGCGCTGGAAACCCCTCCCTGCGCGCGGGACGCGCCAGGGGCAGCGCTGGAGGCGCGGCCAGGGGGCCCCAGCGCCGATGCGAGGAATCCGCGCCGACCTCCGCACTCTTGTGCCTGTGCCCTGGTCTGCTCCCCTGCAGGCGCGCCGCGGGAGGCCCCAGCGGCACCGACGAGCACGACGACTTCGGCCGCCTGCTGGCCGAGGCCTCGCTCGCCCAGCGCCTCGGGGCCCTGCTGCTGGAGAGGCGCGCCGGGCTGCTGCGGGCCGCCTCGGCCACGGGCCCGAGCGCCGCGCCGGCGCCCGCCGAGCCGCTCCGCGGCGGCGCGGCGCCGCCCTGGGCGCCCGCCGGCCTCCCCGCTCCGCCGGGCGCGCCGGGCGGCGGTCCGGCGCGGGCGCCGCCGTGGGCCACCGCGGGCGGGCTGAGGGTGATCGAGTCGACCAAGAGCGTCCACTGCCTGGCGCTCGAGAAGTTCTTCGGCAAGTTCTCCGACGGCGCGGGGTGCCCTGCCGACCGCGCCGGCAGCTCCGCCGCGGAGAAGGGGCCTGGTGTCTCGGGCTGGCCGCCTGCCGCCCTGGAATTCGGCAGCCTCAAGGTGTTCAGCCTGTGAGCGGCTGGCCCTCGTTCGGCGACCGGGGCAGTGGATCGCAGCATCCTGGCGTCAGGCCTCCTCCTCTGCTCGCTCCCTCCTCACCCCCATCATCGTGATTCTTCTCTTCCCTGTCCCTTGCGCGAAACTATGGCCGTCTCGCCTCCCTGCCTATTTAATCTTATACCGAGTGGAGTATCAACACTTGGACAGCTTTCTGTCCCGTTTTTTTTTTTCACAAGGGGGTCGCTTCAGGCTTCCTTACGAGGAAAAGATTACCGCCTCATTCCCCCGCCGTTCTCATCTCATTGACCTGAGGCAATGTGCAGACAGCGTCAGTAACCTCTTTCCCACGCCGCGAGATCCGAGTAGATTTCTCCGTTTCTCATTGCATGGGATCGCCTGCTTCATGCATATTGAATTGAGAAGCTCCGAGCCCATTTGTTTACATGGTTTGACATTCGGACAAGTGACAGATCACTTAGTTCTGTTTCAAACCAGGCTGGTGCTGCCAGCATCTTCGTCCAAGCCGCGTTGCGAATCAGTCTCCAATGTTTCAACGATTGCCATCCTGAAGGTAGGATTTTTCTGGGGTAGGGTAGAGGCGAACAAGGAGAGCGAGGTGGAGGCTTGCGGGGAAGCAAGACGAACTGCAGGTCGAGTAGCATGTGCTCGAGGAGCGGGCATGGCGCAGTGCCTGATCTTGCGCACTTCACTCTAACGAGAGGGACGGATGTCGCGGGTTTGCGCTCTGCCCGCTTGGTTTCTTTTTCAGAAGCAGGTGAGCGCGTGGGCGAAAGAAGGCCTCGCCAGCCTGCTCTCACCGCTTTGCGGGAGTGGTCGCACGGTCCCACGCCAGTGGTTGCTTCGCTTACATCGCGCGTGGCAGGATGAGTTTCGAGCTTCGGCCATCCTCTCGCGTGGCGGCACGCTGCCTGCGTCGTGGCGCGCCTCCTCTCGCAGCGCGGCCCTGCTGCACCCACAGGCGGCGGCAGATCTGCGCTCGCGGTGCTTCCAGGCAGGAGGCTCGGCGCGTGCCGCTCGGCGCGTGCCGCTCGGCGCCGACGTGCGCGTGCCGCTCGGCGGCGCCGTGGATCTCGTTTTTCGACATTGCGCTTCTTGCCGCTTGCAGATTATTGCCTTTAGTGTAGTGCGCCAGGTAGTGCGCGCATCGTATGAGCAAGCCATGGAAGCGCATTCTGAGCCTTTCGGACACTGATTAGCCAAGCCAGAGACTGCGCTGCGTCTGCCTGGGCAGCAAGCCTCAGACAATCAAAAACAGCAAGAGCTGCCCCGAGAGCAGAGGGCGCCCGACGATAACGCTTGGCACGGGCGTCAACACGTCCTAGCTTCGTACCCTCTTGTGCTTCGATGTGGGCCGTCCACCTTGGCGTGCGCTTCGTTTGGGGGCACCCCCGCGGGGCACCTGGCCTTCGGCGACGGGGCCCATGCTCCTTCGCCCCCGACCTCGCTGCCAGGGCTCGACCCGTAGGCGACGAGCCCCCCCGCGCCGCCCAGGTGTACCTGCGCCTCGAGCAGCTGATGCTCGCGGCCCAGCGCCGGCGGCGCCCGGGGGTGCCAGCGCTCCCGTGGGACGCGCGCACGGGCAACTTTCCCGACCCCGCCGCTGGCGCTGAGGCCGAGGGATGGAGCGGCGGAACCTGTACAGATACAGCCTCAGAGGAGGAGCACGTACCGATTCTGCTGCCCTTGCCTCGTCGCCACGGCCGGAGGCGCCTCAGAATCCGGATTAGGACGCATCCCTGGAGAGGTCGGGGGGGCAGCGGTGCCGGTGCTGAAGCACCTTTTGGCCCCCCCCGTCAAGTGGGCAGCCGCCCGCCCCTGGCCAGGCCCACCTTCAAGGGAGGAAGCACCACGCGGACCAGACAAGTGGCGTTTACGAAGCGGCCCTGGGCGTTGACTGAAAGCCTTGCCCTGTTCGACTTCTTCTTTGGGCGCGTTTACTAAGCGGCTTCGCGTGTCGGGGTGGTTATTATGGGGGTGGATTTTTTTCCCTCTGCGTCTGGGCCCCAGGAGCGGTGTCTGCCGCGGCGTTTTGGCCTGTGCTGTGGCCGGGTGTGCTCGGAGCTCCGACGTCCTGGCGTCTGGCTTCTGGCACGCGTGGGCCCCCGGGTGGCCTGAGCCCCCTTGCATTTGAGTCTGGCGTGTCTCTCTACAGGGGGAATATTTCGGAGGTGGACAGACCTCCTACCCTGACACGTCGATTAAGGAATTGGCCGTTTTCGGTTCGCGAGAGGGCGTCGCGGTCGTCATTTTTGCGGGTCCAGGTCCGTCGGTTTCGGTCCCAGGCCGTTTTCACTAGGGGGAGGTGTACTAACGGGAGGCTTGTCCACCGCCGAATATTCAAAAAATGCCAAAACAAAAACATGGGGACGTTTTTTGTATATACTTGTTGTTGAACATTATTACTTCTAAAGAATAATTATTGTTGGGACCCCTGGTGCACGACCCCCCTCCAAAACCTAGGCCGCAGCTACATTTTCATCATTTTTTCGCGAAAGCTTCAGAAAAGTGGATTGGTACCGGATCCGGTTTTTTGTTGACGCTCGTTTTCCCTTGCAAAAAACACTATAAAATGAAAATTCTTGTTCTTAGTTGATCAAATTGCAAGAATCCCTTGCAAAAAATAAGGTAAAGTGGACATTCGTGCGCGCAAGACGAAATCCTTCCAAAACCTTAGGTTTCGTAACGATTTTAACATAAAAACATCAAAAACCCAATGGTTTTTTAAGAAAAAATTGTCAAAATGTCCTTCCGCGCGCGCTGTCCGAATCCCACAAAACCAATGGTTTTTCAACATTTATGTTACATGAGCTCGCGCGAGCTACTTTTTCTTGTTCTAACATAATCAAATTTCAATAATCCCTTGCAAAAAATAAGGTAAAGTGGACATTCGCGCGCGCAAGACGAAATCCTTCCAGAACCTTAGGTTTCGTAACGATTTCAACATAAAAACATCAAAAACCCAATGGTTTTTCAAAAAAAAATGTCCAAATTTCATCCCGCGCGCGCTGTCCGACTCCCACAAAACCAATGGTTTTTCAACATTTATGTTACATGAGCTCGCGCGAGCTACTTTTTCTTGTTCTAACATAATCAAATTTCAATACTCCCTTGCAAAAAAAAGTAAAGTGGACATTCGCGCGCGCAAGACCAACAAAAAACACGACGATCTCAGGAACTTGCCCCAAAAATGTGACCAACTCCGCTCTCTCTGTCTCTCTCTCTGTCTGCTCTCTGTCTCTCTCTCTGTCTGTCTGTGTCATGTATTGTATGTCACAATTGCAGGATGCTGGGCACACGCGCGCCCCGAATAAGTGACCAAGTTCTGTGGGTGTGTACCCCACGCCAGTGTAGTAGCCACGGTCGTCCGCACGCCACGAAGTGAAGTGTCCCAACGTCATAGGGCGGGAAGCTGGGTTTGGGTGGTCGCGAAGAGTCGTTTGGATATTTGGTAGAGCGTGAACTGCCCCCCCACGAAGTGGGGGTATTGTCTCGCGTCGCATGAAAACCCTGGCACTGGTGAGAACACTGAGCGTTCGGGTAAATGATTGTTGTTGTTGTTGTTGTTGTTGTTGTTGTTGAACATTATTTATTCTAAAGAATATTATTGTTGGGACCCCTGGTGCGCGGCCCCCCTCGCCGCGCCTAGGCCGCAGCCACATTTTCATCATTTTCGTGAGGAAGTCTCAGGCAAAACGTGGGTGTCCGGATCCGGTTGTTTTCGTTGTCCCCCGTTTTCCCTTGCAAAAAATAAGCTAAAGTTGACATTTCTTGTTCTAACATAACCAAACTTCAAGAATCCCTTGCAAAAAATAAGGTAAAGTGGACATTCGCGCGCGCAAGACGAAATCCTTCCAAAACCTTAGTTTTCGTAGCGATTTCAACATAAAAACATCAAAAAACCAATGGTTTTTCAAAAAAAAATGTCAAAATTTCATCCCGCGCGCTCTTGCGGATTCGTAGGAAACCCAACACTTTTTAAACATTTCTGTCAAACGGGCTTTTGCGAGCAACTTTTTCGAACTTCTGCAACAACGGTTGCGCACCTGCCAGGGCCATCATCCCTGTCAAATAATACCATGCGGGACACATTCGTTTTTTCTTCGCGCGCGCACGCCGTCGTCGTCGGCCGCGGGGCCCTGAATAGTAGCCACGGTCGTCCGCATGCCACGAAGTGAAGTGTCCGAACGTCATAGGGCGGGAAGCTGGGTGTGGGTGGTGGCGAAGAGTCGTTTGGAAATTTGGTAGAGCTTGAACCGGCCCCCCCACAAAGTGGGGGTATTGCCCGCCTCCTATGAAAACCCTGGCACTGGTGAGAACGGAGTGTCCCCACGTGCTAGTAATTGTTGTTGTTGTTGTTGTTGTTGTTGTTGTTGTTGTTGTTGTTGTTGTTGTTGTTGTTGTTGTTGTTGTTGTTTGACCATCTTGGGGTATTATTTGTTTTTTTCATCCAGGATCCACCTGTATGGGGGACATGCCCGACCCAAGGCTGCAGTCTTTGTTCACCCCGAGCCGCTCTTTTTTGCTGCAGGGCCTGGAGGAGGGTGTTCTCGGGAGGGAGAACGGCCGGGACCCTCCCCGTCGCTGGCGCTGCCTCACGACGAGAGGAGGTCTGGGTTGACGGGCCTGTCTTACACCACCACCACCACCATAGGTTGGAGAGGGGAATGAGGAGGAGGAGGAGGAGGAGGAGGAGGAGGAGGAGGAGGAGGAGGAGGAGGAGGAGGAGGAGGAGGAGGAGGAGGAGGAGGAGGAGGAGGAGCCCCTCCCACTCCAGCTTATGGTGGTGGTGGTGGTGGTGGTGGTGGAAAACAGGCCCATCATGGGTGCCACGCTCCCGGGGCCAGGGATGGGTCTGGGCAGGGCCGGGGGGAAGACCTCGCCTTGACTTACGCCGGGCGTGTCCCTCTAGGAGGAGTCTGCAAACATACAACAGATAGTCAGGAGACGATTCTTTTTTGGATTATTCTGTAGTATTTTAGAAATTGTTTCGATTATTGATCATTCTTCGTCCAAGATGCCCCTGTAGGGGGACATGCCCGACCTAAGCCTGGACTTCGGATCCGCCGCAGTGGGGTGGACTTTCCGATGCGGAGTTGTGCCGGAACTGCACCCGAAGCGATGCGAAACAGGAGGGCGGACATTTTTCCGCCTTAGCCAGGGAGGGCGGTCACAGCAATGGCCTCCAGCCAATGCTCAGGAGGGAAAAAACACAGGCACAATGAATCGTCGATTCCCCAGAAGATATGGGAACACGTGGGGAGTGGGGGGAAGACAGAGTCCCAGAAAACACGGGAAAATATGGGGAATCTGGTTCCTTGTGTCTATTTATTTGTGTGTCCCAGGGCCCCCTCAAGTGCCGCCGATCGGGGGGGCGGGGGGGCCGGATGTCTGTGCGACAGGGGAGTGTGCAGGCGGCAGCGGGCTCCTCCTTGCTCGCCCTTCTTTCGTACCCCGCCCCTTCTCTCGTAACCCGCCCCGTGAAGTTTAGGGTTTATTCTTTTTAGACACTGAACTCGTGGAATATCTAGAATCGTTCCCCCCCATGTTCACAGTTCCATCTGGGAATGGGGTGGGAGGGGGGAGGAGTGCGAAAAAAAAGGGAGCTGCTCGCGGCCGAAGGCCGCCCTTTTGCCCAGGGGTGGACCTAAACGGTGTTTTGGCGATTTCGTGGGCCGTTTTCGTTTCGATGTCGTTTTGCAGCCAGGGCGAATTCAGGACAAAACGAGGAACAACGAGGACAAAACGAAAACGAAAAACACCGTTCAGGTTCAGCCCTGGGAGGGAGAGCTGAGCTGGGGCTTCTTGGGTATAATCCAATGGCCTTTTGGCCCATGCCGCCGCCGTGCCTGGGTTGTGGGCGAGAATGGCGCCTCTGGGACGTTCGTGGGGCTGTCGTGGGAGGGCTCTCTGGGCGTTTCTGGAGGCAGGTCTGAAGCCCGTTGGGCGCCATTTTGAGGCCTCTTGGGGCGTCTTGGGGGCCTCATGGGGGTCTCTTGGGGGCTCTGGCGGGTATCTTGGGGCGGAAGGCAGGAATTATTGGTTCGGGCGTCCCCTCTAGGGCCTCTGTTAGCGCTGTCTTGGGGCTTTCTTGAGCCGTCTTGGGCACCTATTGGGTGGTTTCGGGACACTCTTGGGGTGTCTTGGGGCGGTGTTCGGGGGTCTCTGGGACCGTTTTGGGAACTTTTTGGAGCGTCTTGGACGTCGTACAAGCTGAGACGTGTCGGACATGCTAGAAATGCATGCATTCTCAAAGAACTTGAACGGTGTTTGC